TCTTCAATCACACCAAGCTGTGGGAAGACATTTGCCTAACTTATGCAAAGATCATCCGCCGCGCAGCCAAGATCAACGAAGGTCATGAAGAAAGCGTATTCAAACCAATCGGTTGGGAAGAGTTCTCTACCAAGACAGCTCGCCTGGAAATCCTACCTCATCTGGGCCCAGAGAGCCAGGCCATCTTAGAACTACTTCGAGACGCGCTGGAGCTAAAGAAACTCAACAACAACCTCATGAAAATCACCATGTTCGAAGACCTGATCGCCGATCTCTACGCCCGACTCTACGAAATCAACAGCCCCCTCCTGGTCGAACAAGCAAGCGAGGAAAATAAAGAGAAGATGAAAGTCGACCACCTCCTCATGGTGGGCGACGGCCTTCCCGAGACTTCAACCCCTTCAACATCCGTTCCAGCATCTGATACCCCGGCACCCCGCGGTCGGACAAAGGGCATCGCCCGTCGCGACATCCAGAAACGCGCCGACACAATCGTGAACACGAAGCTGGCTCCTCGGGCCGTGGCGAGTAAAATAACCGCCGCCGGTGAGACGGAGCCACCTGCGACTCCGCAGGGCGTTGGGTCGACTGCTACAGGGACAAGCTCTGCGCCCAGTGGTCCATCCAAGCAGGTTTCTGCTATTGGAGATGGCTCAGCTGAGCAGAGAGATGAGAATGACAGTGCGGACGAGTGTGAGCAAAGCGAGAATGATGATACGAAGCTAGGTGATGAGGGGATCTCGGCGCTTTTCCCTCATGTTACTGATGCAGAGGAAGGAGGGACTGGGGATGAAGGTGCGGATGAAGGGGATGGTGGGGACGATGAGGGCGGTCATGAGCATGAAGGCGAAGAAGGGGAGGGTGATGGTGATGATGATGAGGATGGCGATGGTGTTCATGGTGATGGTGATGGTGATGGTGAAGGGGATGAGGATGAGGAGATGCAGGACGAGGAAACAAAATTGGAGGAAGAAGACAAAGACGGGAAGGAGATTCTCACTGTCGATCAGTCTGGCAACGACACTGAAACTGAGCATGTCGCTGACAAGCGAGATACCGGGGAGCAAGATGCCATGGACATTACGCCCTCTGAGTCTTGAGGAATCTACTATACATCCAAGGCGGGGGGCTTGCTTTCTTTTTTATTTTCGGTTTATGCGAGCGCATGGCGTGTCTCCTCTCAAGACAGGAATTTTTTATACTACAGGATGGCGTTGGGAGACAGGTGGCTTGAATGGCTTACGAGCTAGCATGTACAATATTCACAACATCCAAATCTGGAATTGTCAATTGGGAAATGAAATATCAACAATTATTAAAACAAAGGATCAATTGCCCCCAAACGCCATAGCCAAGGGATATCATTCCATATTAACCGAAAAAAAAAAGATACGCCCAAGAATTAAAGGCTCTAGTATCTCAAGCAAGAAGGGTAAATCGTTAGAGTCATGACGGGGTATAGGAGGAAACAAGACAGCTTAGATCTGGTCCTCTGGGGCGAGGTCCCATTTCCGGGTTCCCATCTTTCTCGTCTTCTTGATAGGCGAGGCTCCTGGCGATGGAGGAGCAAACATGGTATCTGCGAGCTTCAGTTGATCCATGCGTTGTAACGCATTCTCAATATCGCTCTCGCGACCAAGCGGGTTGGCCCGCGCGGGCGTGGCATTCTTAGGTCTGTGCTTTCTTGTTGGGGATTGGTTGTGCATCTCACGCTCAAGTGCAGCGAGTTTGCGGCGAAGCTGGTCATTTTCTTGCTCAAGCTCTTCCACCTTTTCGTTCGACCCGGAATCTTCAAAGACTGGAGGTAAAGGTCAGTTCAAGCGTTCACATATTTCGCTCATAGGCCAACTTACTTTGAAATCCACGGGATACGAGCTCAACCTTCTTGTCGATGTGCTCGTCATTGCGACCGATCTGAAAACCATTAGCATTTGACAAGTTTTGAGCTGATCGAAGGCTACAAACCTGCTCATCCCAAGCCCTCTGCCAGCGTCGCCTTTCTTCTTCTGTTTTCTCATCCATCTCTGCCCAGCATTCTTCTCGCACATCTTGCTCGATCGTGAGACATCTTTCTTCGGCAGCTTTCAATCTCATTTCAACATCAGACCGTGCAATCTCTTCTTCAGCTAGCTTGAGAGCAAGGCTGTGGCAATCGCGTGTGAGGCGTGCGATCTCGGCAGCAGCTCGCCGGAGCTCTTCGGTTGAATCGAAATTTGGCGAAGTGCAGCCACTGACTGAGCGGTGACTGCCAGAAGCGACAGACAAAATAGATTCACAAATCGAGGGAACTCTAGGAACGGTAACCTCGCGAGCCAATGCGGAGTAACGCAAAATTTGGGATGTGGCGTTGAAATCACCCAGAGGATCAGCGGTGACGATCATGATAGCCTTTTGGGGATATTGGCCTCTGGACATCTGATGAGACGATGGGAATGAGTTTGAAAACAGAAGCTCAGTCAATTTGCACTGCCGGTAAGGAACGAGAGCAGTCTTTGTAGGTTAGCAGCTGCCAAAAGAAGCACACCGGCGATAGGTTCAAAACACACCTTCATTCCATCCTGTATGTTGCTTTGCATCTGCAGGCATTGGCCAAGATACATCAAGCTTTCGTTGATCTTGCCAGCCTCAGCGAGTGTAGCACCAGCTGTCTTTGCCGTTCTCGCACGCTCGGAGCCTATATCTATTAGCGGCAGGCCTACGGCAAGGACACAAGATACTTACCAGCAAGATCCACAACAGTCAGGGCATTTCCAGCCCAATTGTGTTCACCGGTTCGCTTTGAGTATGTCCGCTTCTTGACTTCCAGGGAAAAGAAACCATGACTTCGAGAGCTAACGCTATTCATTCCGGTACCAGTTACCTTGCGTTCGGTTAAACCAACGTCCAAAATAGCCAGTGCTTCCTCGTAGCTGCTGCAAGCAATTTTGCGTAGCCCGGCAACCAGTTTCCGATCTGGTGAGCCCTCGGTAGGCTTGAAGAGCAAGGGACGTCGTCGATCTTTTTGGTTATTTCCGCGAGACATGGTGCCCTGACCTGTGACAATAGAGGGAGATAGAAGATCAAAAATTCGGTCATTGTATACCTCATACATTGACACCAAAACGACATAATCTGCATTTGAATCCATATCCACCGTGAGGTGGCTCATATCGGGCAGCCTAGGAAGGGCGCATGGTCGTTCACGTACGTGACGGCGGGGAAAATTCAAGGCGGGGGTCGGTTCCTTCATGACATAAAGTCGAGATTTAGCTGATTTGGGCTCAAATAGATTGGAGTGAGTGTAGGGGATAGGATTAGAAAATCCGGGGGTGATCCATCCAGAGAACTCAGTCGAGATCTGGCCAAAGCCAGCTCGAGCAGCGCCATTGGGACCAGGAATAAAAGATGAATACACCTTACGAGGGCTTCCAGGTTTAGATCTCGGCCTTGGGAGAAACGATGCAGGGGTGCGTGGTCGCGGGGTCGGGGATCCTTGGGGGGAGTTCAGGGTAAGGGGGCTTCGTACCATCAAAGGAGTATTGGCACGAGATGGGCTCATGGGTGTTTGCGCTCTCGACGTCCGTCCGTTTGGCTCGCCATATACAGCTTCCAAAAATGTCTGGGCGGAGAACAATTGCGCTTCAGAAGCGTCCGCGGCAGCCAGTGAGGCAAGCATTACGGGGGTAATGCTGCTATCGTCGGTCTTAGTTGTCGACTCTAGGGAGCGGAAGATAACGTCAAGGGCCATTTGAGTCATTCCTCGTTCGGTCTTGGATCCTAGAATGGTGTGGCTCTGTGCACGACCAACCAATTAGCTTGGTTGTCGCGATACTGCAATATTCGGGACCATACCTTTCCGCTGCCCGTGACTCCCAGGGTAGCAACTAGCCCATCTCGGTTCTCCTTCAGAACTCCGCGTATGATGGGCTCCATCCCAGTGTCATGGAATACATCCAGCTGCGAGGCAGCCTCCTCGAAGACCTTTGTGAAACCAAACCTCTCGACGGCGCGCTTTCTCGTGTCATTTGGTGGTTGAAGAGTAATGTGGGTTGATCCCAGGGAGACGATCTCTGTTTCCTCCTGTGAAGCCTCTGGCGGTTCAACGTTCAAAAAACGGTCAGATTCATTGGGCTTTTGGGCCATCGGCGGCCGTAACCGGAGGTAAACTTGGAACAGCGATGCCTGGGGCTGTTTGGGCGGCATTTTAGGCGGCTCTTCAGTATGTATGCAACACGAAGGCAGGCGTCGTTAAACTTCTCAAAAGCTGTGGGGTGTAATGCAACATGCAAAACAGCTCAGCAGTCGAAGGAAAGTCCAGAACGTCCACAGATCAACATTGCGCTTACCGCTTTTGGATGTCAGTTACCCAGACAACGAGACCATGTCACGTGCTATATATCTCTACCTTCTTCATAGCACATGTCTATCATTCGTGGAACGTGGATATTGCTTTTCTATAAGGCGTAGTTTTCCCGGTCCATATGACTCTACGGAGTACTCAGTACTTTGTGCACATATGCTGAAGTTGAAGTAAATTGATCACGTGTCCTATGCGCCCAAAGCAAGCGAAAACGAGTTACCCAAGTTAGACTAGCGTGACAAGAAGGTTGGCGAATCATAAGTCAAGAATCTATGGGGCAAGAGTCCGCATGGCGCAGATGCTAATACGAGGTCATTTTAAGCCTAAGCGTCGATCCGCTATTCCGATGAACCAGTGACCAGTGACCCTCGATATCTGACCATTCTTTGTGGATCCAAATAGAGGACTAACAAAGTTAGAAGAATACGAAAGTTGCCTAATGAACACTTGGGACATCAAACTGCGTATTTATTTGGTATGGAAAGCACCGCTCGAAGCACGGGGCCTAAATCTTGAATATATATATATATATATCAAACGTCCTTTCCGCAAACTACTCATACTCTCTAAATTGCTATCGATTAGTTCAACTACACAGTAGTGCTTTTGCGCAAACTCGATTGTCACCAAGCAATATATAGTTGCTGGATCTACAACAACCATGCTCGAGGCGCGGTCATCATATCGTAAGTTGCAACTTGCCTACTAAGTCAACCACGATCAATATTTTATCTGACAAAACAAAGAGGAGGGAAGCCTGTGGTTCTATGCACCAAACAAAGGCGCTGCAATTGCATTTGCAATTCTCTTCGCTATCTCTGGCGGCATCCATGGATATCAATGCTTGTATGTGACCCTACCCACTCTGAACCCTTAAATTAACCAGATTTCGAAGCAAATATAAGTCCTGGAAAGTCACCGGCCTTCTTCCTTGGTCTGCTCTCCTATTCACGGCAGGCTTTATCACACGAACTATTGGAGCGTTCGGGCAGTGGGGAAATCTAGGCGTCTATATAGCAAGCACTGTGCTTCTCCTCGCTGGACCGTAAGGAGCACCCATCCAATCATGAGATACGCTACTGACAGCCAATCTTCGATTACTCTAGACCGGTATATGAGGGTGCCAACTTCTTCATTTTGGGTCGCATACTTTACTACATCCCATACCACTCCCCCATCCACCCTGGCCGCGTATTCACGACCTTCATCGCCTTGGGTGTGGTCATTGAGAGCATTACTGCCAACGGAGCAGCCCGAGTCGCAAGTGCGGACTCTAGTGTCAACTCACAAAACACTGGCAAGGCGCTACTCAAGGCGGCGCTTATCATGCAGATTGTTTTAATGGCAGGCTTTGTGTCGTTGGCCGGCCGATTCCACTTCAATTGCGCACGAGGAGGCGTGTTGAACCACAAGATCAAGCATGCGCTACTGGTATTGTATTGCAGCTGCACCCTCATTACAATCCGTACCATCTATCGCACCGTGGAATACTTCACTGCCGCGAGTCTGAATGCCTACACTGACCTCGAGAATATCAGCCCTGTATTGAAACAGGAGTGGTTCTTCTGGTTTTTTGAGGTCGTGTTCATGTATAGCAATACCACTTTGCTGAATGTCTTTCATCCCATGCATTGGCTTCCGCGATCAAACAAGATCTATCTCGCTGAAGATGGTGTCACGGAGGTTGAGGGTCCTGGATATGACGATCCCCGTCATTGGCTCCAGACCGTTGTCGATCCATTTGATATCTACGGTCTGATTGTTAATCGAGGCAAGAAAGAAAAGTATTGGGAGGCGAGCCTGACTCGGAGAGAGAGCACAACTGCTAAAACCACGCTAGCGGTATGAACACATTTTGTGTCGATATATCTCCTTTGGTGTTTACAAGTTACTCTCGTTCTTACCTTGTGTTTATCTGGTCCTCATATAATTTGTATCTCATATGCTTTATAGAACATTCACTTGGAAATCGCAGATATATATATCAAACAAACAAAAGCCCATAGATCACCAATCCTCTTTCTCTTTACCCAGCTCCTCCTGGATTTCCCAACTATACCGAGCAAACTTGCTCGCCCGACGAATCCGCTCTCCATAACAGATAAACACAGGCGGAACTATACAAAACGCAGTTGCTATAGCAGCAAGTACAGACATAGCGTTATTATTTCCCAACCGATCAAACATCTGCGTCGTAAATAGCGGAAAGACACCCGACAGCAGCGCTCGCACGAATGCAACAGCAGCCGTGGCACTGGCAGAGTAACTCAGATAAGAATCTGAGATATATCCGTACAGCACGGTATCCATTTCCGTCAGCGCATAGCCCACCAGAACAAGGGAAGTCGTGGGGACAATCCACGGAGTGTGGATCTGGGGTGGAATAGTCCAAGCAAACCACCATAGACCAATTGCCAGAAATGGACCACCGAGACCTAACCCGATAAGCTTGTATTCTGGCTTAATAGGGCGTCCCTGTTTACGGAAATAGTTGAGAATGTAGCCATCTAGCACACGTGTCAATGTGCTAAGACATGTTCCCAGGCCAATAGCGATGAACATGAGTGAAGCTTCGGTTGTTGAAAATCCCATTGACTCGTAGATGGGTTGGAGGGCTTCTGTGAAGATGTAGATGAGGGACATGGCGATGGAGATCATCATCGCGATGACAAAAATGATGGGCTCTTGGAAGAAGAGCTGGGCGGGGCGAAAGAGGGCATCTTTTACAAATATATTGAGATCTGGGATATGGTCGTGATTGAGTGGCGGTGGGATTGATTGGATAGTCATATCGGTGACTCGTTTCACCTCGCAGGCCAGCAACAAGGAAGGTCGAGATTCCCGAATGAAGAAGAGACCACATGTAATTGCAGCAATGATGATGGCGAAGATATAGAAGTTCCATCGCCTGGGTAGTTGTGAGATATTTACACAGACAATAGTTGAGGGCTACGTACCAATCAAGACCTGCAATTATATAACTGCTCATGATGGGCCCAAGGATGAGACCAATGTTCGAAGCAACTGTCCAATAATACATGGCCCATATTCGAGCATGCGAGTTGAACATGTCCTCGATGCTGCCGCCGATTATGGTATAAGGAATGGCGGAAAGAAGCCCGGCGAGGATGCGCATGATGATAATGACCGGCATTGCACGCACAAGGCCAATGATCATACAGCAAAGGGCGCTGAGACCACTGCTCACAATGTACATGTTCCTTCGCCCAAATGTCTCCGACCACGGGGGAAATAAGATGGTGCCTGCCACTTGGCCGAGAAGAAATCTGTTCATTGTCAGCAGATACGAAACGTAGTAGACCATCTGATCTTACATCGTGACAAATATGAAAATAGAAAGCGTTTCACTGATATTGTATTCATGTTTGGCTTGTGTAGCAGCTGCCGACTAGAAAAGACCAGGGTGTTAGCTCGGCAATCTTGTAGGCTATTCATGATAGCTGTATACACTCACACCTGCGGTGCTAGATGCTGTTCTGCAATTATTGTTAGCTTATTGACAAGCCAACGTTGGGATTTAGTCTTGTCGCACATAAATAGATCCAACAGACAGATAAGGACAATATCGTAAGTCTTTCGTAGGCCAGACCAATTTCGAGGATGCCTTGGGTGATTTCGCAACCATCGCACGTATTTTCCATCCGGGGTAAGCTCAAGGCAGTGGTCACGCAGGAGCTCAAGGGCTGAAACTTTGGGGTCGTCTGTCGGTAAGGTCGATTCTGAGGAGATAGACTGCATATTGGGCAACCGCGGAGCAAACCATATAGAAATGATTATAAAGAATGTTCGACAGGGTCACCGTTATCATACGTCAGTCTTGAATGAAGCTGATCTGGAGTGGGATTCGAGCTTTTATCATCGCAAATATTCTTCCTCGGACATTTTGATGCAAACCTTGCCCCGAAGAATGGAGCCCCTTGCGATCTACGCGGTGGGGGTTTCGGTGCTCAGTTGGTGATACATACGTACAACGCGTCAATCTCCTAGAATTCCTCGGGAATCTTGCTATCTATTGAATTCCAACTGTCGATAAGTGGATTAGCTGAAGCATGAGAGGTAAGTCAAGCTTCATATTTTGAAATCAAGTCTATACCGTGAACAGCTACCTATCTAATTGGTTGTACATATAGCTCAGAGAATGATGACAATTTTAGCCACGAGACCTAATCTAGTGGCTTAATTTCTAGGGATAGCTATTTTCAACATTCTTCTTCATGGTGATTTCTCGACGCACTCCAAAAGGTGCAACTCTTGGAAGAATCAAACAACAATGAAAAAGGAAAACTATCTGCTTTTAATATCAAGCTATGTATAATATCTGCATGAATATCAAAAGATCTGTGGTCGAATCCTAGAAAAAAGGAACAAGCTTTGATCAGTGATGTCCAAGGATGTCTGGGGAGGGAACATGACCCACTCTTGTATAGTCCGCGACGGCCTGGGATTTGTATGTCTTTGTGTTAAAGGTTAAAATAACAAATACTGTCTTTACATGGATAAGCAAGTCAAAGCTAGAGAGCGCGAGAAACAGGCGTATCTTGAATAACATCAGCTATACATGGTTGCCCGGATAGAATGGCTCTAGACTGAAACAGATATAGGATAGTCTTCATACCAAGCAAGTCAATCGTTTTTTCTTACTAGAATATTGCTTCGTTTCAGCACACTATAAATTTCGAAGTTTCTAACAAGTCTTTCGGATGATCTGCGATCTGTGGCCACTGACCACCGGTTTCATCGAGCCACGAAGAGCTCTGAGGATAGCGCGCAGATCCCACTCTTGCTCCTGGCTGTGGACTCTGGTAAATTCAATCTGATACTTCAGCTGATCACGTCTTTCTACAATATAGCACATGTCCTCTCTTAAGACCTGTAAAGTACCATAATCCCTTTGTGGCAACTAATGGGATCCACGGGCATTCGGATAGATTAGTAGATATAGAAGTAAATTTTATAAGATACTTAATTTGAGAAGGTCTTAATCTTTAAACTAGTTGAAGTCCGATGTATGAACTCACCTGTGGTACTTTAATATACACGGTGGTTGTACCTGCAAGGCGGAAAGCCAATGGATATGCGGCAAGACGATCTCCGACGAGGCCACCTCTCCGCACGCTCTAGCTCTATCAAAACACGACAACCCAACCAGCCCATTTAGCTGAACCCAATAGGTATCGTCTTCATCCACCATTTTACGGGAATTAAAAAAAAAGAAAAAAACACCCCCAGCAGTATTTCTGACCAAGAACAGTCACTATTAGAGCGACCTATCCCAACCCTCCCACCTCTCCGTTGATCGCGAACCGCCCACCATGCTATCCTCCCTCTCCTCCAGCATTACAAATGCTCGGCAATCAATCGCACAAGTGCTGAATTTTGCGCTGGTTCTTTCCACTGCTTTTATGATGTGGAAAGGCCTCTCGGTCGTGTCCGCATCAAGCTCTCCAATAGTTGTGGTGTTATCCGGTAAACAAAGCTATTCTATGACGGTCTGAACACAGCTCACATTACCTCTCTGCAGGATCAATGGAGCCCGCATTTCAGCGTGGTGACCTGCTCTTCCTCTGGAATCGAAACACAAGGGCGGAGATCGGAGAAGTTCTCGTTTATAATGTTCGAGGAAAGGACATTCCCATTGTCCACAGGGTTGTTCGAACTTTCCCTCAGGTCGAAGGACGTGTAAGCGCAAAGAAGGTGAAGGAGATTACAGTGTATGTCGCCCATTACCTGGCAATTCCTGTGGCTGATTCTTCGTGCTAACGATGTTCTAGGGACACAACACCTAACACGCATATGCTCCTCACCAAGGTAGGCGGCCTAACAATTTGATTGTCTTAGGAAATTTCTAATATCTCCCTAGGGTGACAACAACTTGGCAGACGATACTGAGCTGTATGCTCAAGGTAAGCGATACAAGCATGAAGGGACCCCACTTCCGAATGTTACTGACAAGGTTAGACCAGGACTATCTTGACCGGGCGGAGGACATTGTTGGCAGTGTTCGTGGCTACATACCTATGGTTGGATACGTTACTATCATGCTTAGTGAGCATCCCTGGCTGAAGACAGTGATGCTGGGGCTCATGGGACTGATGGTGATGATACAGAGAGAATAATTCACTATATTAAACATCGGGAATGGTAACAATGGAACCAAATGCATTAAATGTCAAGGGAATATGAAATATTGCGTGTTCAATTATAGTGTGTCCACTATGTACGTAGAGCGGCGGCGAAGATATCAAACTTCTCCACTGACGTCTTTTGCCGCGCACGTACGCGCACCCCACTCGGAGCTTCTAGCTTCGACCTAAAGGCCCCCTTTGTTCTTCTGACATCTCTCGCACATAGCGTCTTTGCCGTATTACCCAATAAATCGCTTTTTATTCGCTGTCTCGACTTCTTGAAGCGCGTCTTGCATTAACGCGTTGCCCTGCATCCTTCATCAACCTCCCCGCTCTTATCGCCCCGCCAAATCCACAACTGAACACCACAATGGGCAGCATCAAGCGCATATCCAAGGTAAATACCTATATTTTCACATGACAATCGCTATCTGTTAGTGTACTGACCATCTATTCCAATTATAGGAGCTGACTGAGCTCACCGAATCCCCTCCGGAAGGGATCACGGTTGAACTGGCCGATGAGTCGAACGTGTACGAGTGGAGGATCAAGATGGACGGGCCCGAAGGCTCACCATTCCACGTATGTCAAAACATAATCCATGCCCCCTTTATCCTCATTTTTTCCACCAAGTTCTTGAACGGGGAGTCCCTGAACTCGATCCTCAAAGTGCAACCCCAACAGACAGCGTCTCTAACCTCTTGGCAAACAACACAGAATGGCAAGTTCCTAGTCAAGCTCTCCCTCCCCACGGAATACCCATTCAAGCCGCCGACAGTCTCCTTCGCCACGAAAATCTACCACCCAAACGTAACAAACGACGAAAAAGGAAGTATGTGCCTTGGCATGCTCCGAGCCGACGAATGGAAACCCAGCTCGAAGATCGCCGCAGTCCTCCAGTTCGCCCGACAGCTACTAGCCGAGCCGATGCCCGACGACGCCGTCGAGGGACGGATTGCAGAGCAGTACAAGAACGACCGGGTGCGCTACGAGGAGGTTGCGCGGGAGTGGACTCGCAAGTACGCTTGTTGATAGCGTTTCTTTGCTCTGATTCGAGAATCGGCTGCGTTATCGAAAATGATTTGTGTTGTGTGGGCTGTCGCCCTGGAGTTCGGCGCGCAGGATAGCTGCATGTTTGAAATCGTGCCCGCATCATAGATTGAGTTATCCCTATCTGAGAGTCACCCCGCTTACGACTGAAACGCTGTCATGTTATTCTTGTAAATTCCTCAATGCGAGACCTGATACTGCCTTTGGTTTATATTCTTGGTGGAACCTGTGTTGCATGGTGGCATCAACTGAGTGTTTATCCATTTTCTCTTTGCCGGTGTTCCGTTGGAAGACATTGTTTCCTGTTGATGTTAGTCGTACCTACTGAATTATCTTCTCGGTCTAGCCAGTCAATTCATGAATGAGGATCAATGTGTAGATGAAATCCTAATCCTGAGAATCAATTTCCTATTAGCATCAATCTTCGAGCCTCCATTAGCAGTCCGAGCATTCAAGCATCTCAACAGGAGTCAAAGAGATATGAACAACCACCGATCACCTCCCTCTTAAAACCAAAGAGTCGAACCACATCATCCCGACTCTAGCAGAACAACCAAGTCAGCAACAATACACAAGGGCAGATAATTCGACACTTAACATACCAGTATGTGTATCATGTATCCCATTCCCATTTCAAAGCACAATAACAACCCTCCTACTTCCAGGCCGAGTAATCTCCAAGTTATCAGCTGAAGGCCGAAACCCATGATCATTCAGAGTCAAACGATAAGCCCTCACAAAAGTGCGCTTCATATGACGGGGCAGGCGATTAAAATCCGCCACGATACTTCGGTGCAAAGAGGCAACTTTCGACTTGGCCTGCAGCCAGGACCCGCGGTGGAGATTGAGCTGTGCGGGTGTCGTTGTCGAGTTTATGATTGCCGACATGGTTCGGTCGTAGATTCCAATCGCCATCTTGATGTAGACTAGTTCTTCTAGTTCGTCGCCGAGGTCTAGGACCTGTTGTGGGTGCGGGTGTTAGTATGGAGGGCTATACTTGCATTTGGTTGTACGTACCGCTTGTGGAATTTGGGTTAATTGAGTAGGTGGCATGGTGGTTAGGGTGGAGTGGTTTCTGTTTGATAGAGGTTTGTTAGTATGAGGTGGGGATAGAGGGTGAGAGGAGCTGGGGTTCATACTGATGTTTTGGGCTATGGGTTGATGGAGGTTGAGGAATGAGGGATGGGAAAAGGAAGGTGTTGGTCAATCACTGTGACGAATGTTTGCAATAATAAGAGAGAATTGAGAAGATGTGAGAGGAGAGAAGGTCCATGGTTTGCCCACCGAATGAATAACTTCGTGTTTTAGGTTGGGATTTGGGAATTGGTTACAACTGAAGTAGGAGACAAGCAAGCCCCGAAGTACATACAGTACATACTCTTAGCAGAATCTATGGATGGACACATAATTTCAAGGTCGAGTTGATAGTGAATAGGTTGAAGTATACATCTTCATAATAAAGGAGGAATACAGGAATACAGGAATACTGGAATACTACGGGATCTAGTAACTACATCAGAGGTTGGTCTTGGAACGTTACAGTTCATATTCCAAAGGAGCGGT